GGACAAAGCTGATGTAGTGCTGAGCGAGCTGGCAGCGGCGTGATGTAAGAAGTATTAGCACATCGGCCACACGTGAGTCTCATACCTAAGGACATACAATGCTAGCCCCAGGAGAGAGTCCAGCAGCTTTCCTGCTGCAGCTTGCACTTCAGTGCAAAGAGCTGACGAGGAAAAACTTATGGAAGAGAGCAGCAGAGTCCTAAGAGAAATTTCTAAAGGTGAAATGGGGTCATAAATTTGTTGTTTGCAGTAAATTTAGGAGTTTATTGCAGTAATTTGTCAACTGAAGTAAATTTAGGAGTTTCTCATGGTACTGAAATGGGCTAAAGGTATGAGTAGTTCTGATTTTGTTTTCTTCTATTCTTCTGTCATTAAATGCATCTAAACTGCCTTTCACTGGAAATATATATGACATACAGGTAGAGAATCTTTGCAGTTCAATACTAAAATTTACAGTCTCCTAGTTTTTGGTTTTTTTTCTTTATTTGGAGGTGTTTGTGTTTAGTTGGTTGGGTTGGGGTATTTTTCCCCTCCACAGTACCACCTGTGGGCACTTAGGCATTCTCTCATGTTTTTCTTGTGCTGAACACTGACAGAATTCACACTGAACAGAAGTGCTCACAAAGCAACATTAATATACAGCAGCAGAATAATGTTGCAATTAAATATTTGTATGATAATTACTAATTCAGTGCTCAGAAGTTTAATATTAATGAGGTTGTAACAGTCTAGATTCATTAATGTGTGTTTACTAATGGAAAAACACTTTTCTAATGTAGAAGTTTTAAAACAATTCAAAACACACTATGACAAATAGAATATTATGTGTTTCCAATTTTAAAAATAAATCGCTTTGATCTGTTTCAGATATTATTTTTCAGTCATATATTCAACAACACACAACTTCTTAGAACAATTTTGTTTTATTAAAAGTTGAGTGAACAAACAGTTTGATGGTTTTGATTGAGTATTTGGCTAGGACCCCTGACAAATTGTGGATGACACCTGCTTATTTTAAGCCAGACAGCCAAACATGATGTATGATATAACAGAGTTCATTTTTCAATTTGTTTAGTAAGGAGCAAGGACCTGCATATCTCAGTATCAATTAAAGGGAAAAGAAAAATAATCCTACAAGATAGTGTCACTCCCGTCTTTTTCAATTTTACACCACAACCCTTACTCTAATCACCAAGTGTCAGTAGAGGAATAGATAATGACAAGCATCCTCATCATCAGGGCTTCCTTAGTAGCTTTAAAGAGGCTTAAGACTTGACATAACTAAAGGGGTTATGCATTTCACACTCATGCTTGCAAGAGTCTGTTTAGCTAGGCTTTCAGGGGTTCTTCAGTTAAAAAATTTTATTTAAACAACTGTAGTTTCTGAGCTGACAACTCCCAAAGGCATATCCATACTATTTAGATAGATGAAAAACTGAGCTCCAGAACTATTCCTTTTTCTGATTCCCAGAAACAGTTTCATGTTATACATACATTGCTACTATAAAACAATCTGGTGGTTTTGGTCTTGCTAAATTCTTTAGTGTTGAGTTTTCTTAGCAGTATAGCAAAAAAAGAGGCCTTATCCTGTTTTTTTCTATCTCCCAATTACTTTGCATATACCTATACACATTCACTGGGTTCAGCATCTTTTCCATTTTCATCAAGTTGTGATCATAGGATTGCATCATTCAAAAGAAAAGGGTTCATATGATTAAAAAAATACAAAGCTAAAGTTTATAATATGATAGTAGAACAGTAACCAAATTTCCTGGTTTAGTCCTGGAAGTGGATGGTGCCAAACTCTTTTCAGTGGTACCCAGCGACAGAACAAGGAGCAACAGCCATAAACCAAACCACAAAAGTTCCATCTCCACGTGAGGAGGTTTTTATGTTGAGGGTGCCACAGCACTGGAACAGGGAGTCCATGGAATCTCCCTCTCTGGAGAGACTCCAAACCCACCTGGAAATGTTCCTGTGTCACCTGTTCTAGGTGCCCCTTCCTTGGCAGGGGGTTGAACTAGATGATGTCCAGAGCTCTCTTCTAACCCTTCTGTGATTCAGTGAAGCGAAATCCTAATATCTGCCAAATTTCTGGAGCTCCCAGTAGGTCTGGATTGATGAAGTAGCATTTTTGCAAGATGCAGTTGGCAAAATCCTGACAAGGATGGAAAATTTCTCATAGCAAACTCACACCTTGAATCAGAGCTTCACAGTAGCTGGTTTCTGGGTGAGCTCTGTACACAACAGTTTTCACCTGAAAACTGAAGCAACTTGGATTTTTTCCCTTAGGGAAAATAATTTTCAAATTTTTTTAGACTTCCCTCACATCTTCTTTTCTGTGGCACTTTATGTCTCTCCTACTCTTCCCCAATGTGGATGTATGATAACTCCTCTAGCCTGTCCCAAACTTCTGTCTTCCTTGGCTACAGCTACTCATATTGATTATTTTTCACAGTGTTTATTCCTTTACCCATAAAGAAAATGCACTCTTTCCTCACAGAAAAACACCTCATATACTTCAAATCTTACAGTTGCTTGTTGCAATTTAATTAGCTCAAAGAAAATGCCACATTCTTCAAGGGACTTCTGAGTAGAAAGCTTTAGGAGTATGGAAAGCATGAAAAGCAGAGAAAAGCCTGGGTAGAATTTCTTGGGATTTTACACCATGGAAGAAAATATTGGCATTCTTCTCTCCAAAAAAGGCCTCACTCCAATTTACATGGGTTTTTCTTGTTTCTAAGAACAGGAAGTGGTATCCAGGAATTAGTAGGGCAAAAATTAATTCCAGACACACTCACCTGTGCTTTCTGCACTCTTTATGATTGTTCCCATTGACTAAGTAAATTGTCTTTATTGATAAAATTCCCTAAATCCTTATCTCAAGATAACTTTATCAATTCATGAACTGCTTCACAGAAAAAGATCTTTTATGTCTACTGTGAACTCCCCTCCTCCCAATGCTGTCTAAATGCCAGAAGCTGTTTAAAGGATCTCTACAGTGTTCAATTCCCGATCAGTGAGAGTTCAATGGTCTGGAAAATAAGGAAAAGAGTGTTAGAAGGAGTTTCTGGGATGCTTTTACAAAAGCCATGTGTTCAGCACGGTGCTGGAGCCAGGAACAACCTATCGGTCCTGAAACAGCTTTCTCAGTCACAACTTTATTCCACAAACCTTCAGGATTCTAACAAAGCTTTTGTATTCTGAAAGTCAATGATGTGGTCATGCACCAAATTTGTACCTGGACAAACAATTTCACACTTCCTACAAGATGAGAGAAAACAAGTGAGATGTTCTGATTGAACTGAACATATAATTAAGACATAGTTTTTGATCTAGGATTCAACTATGAAATCTACATAGACCACCCTCTCTTTTGCTCAGGTTGGAGGGGTGCATATAAAGAAGGTAGGTTTGAGTTATTCTGTTGTCTGTATTTTATCTGTGCAGCAACATATGGAATTTTCTACTGTTGATAGCTCTGGCATACACAATTACTATTGGGAAAGCAATGATTTAAAACTGAGAAAGGAATGCAAAAATTTGTAAAAGGATAATATAAAATATGCAGATAAGACCTTGGTCCATCTCACACAATTACAGTAAATACAAACTTCCAAGGGGATTAATATGGGTTTATCATCCAGTCCCAGAGAAAAACACAGGAAATGTTCACAGCAAAAAGAAAAAAATATATTGAGAACTTCTGGAGTAAACAGTGTCTTGTTTTACTCTGGTGCTTACACTGGCTGAATGTTGATATACTGCTGCAGCACTAGGGCTCATCCATCTTTGCATTAGCACTAAAGAAAATGCCTTAGTTTGACAGTTGTAAGTGAGCCTGGTGCTTTTTCTGTTTTATTCACAGCTGGTTAGGTGTACAGGTCACGTTCCAGCCTCATTAGCGAATGGTGGCAACTGAAGTCTAGTTATTAATTCTCTAGCTTGCAAGTTGTTAGCAACTGAAGCCAAATTATATTGACATAAAGTTGGCTGAACCAGAGATTGCTGAATCTAGTAGGATCTATATTTTTGTTTCTTGATGAAAAATGTCTTGTTCGGAAAGAAAGTCACTGCTTAGTTCTGTACAGGTTCACATATGCCAACATTACAACTGGTATGTTAAAACCAGGAAAACTTATATGCCTGAATGTTTCTATTTTAGGTCTTTTTTTGGAATTTGTTCAAGGCTTCTGGAAATTTACTGGCCTGATTACACTTCCTGTTTTCCCTGGGAAGTGAATTTGTTTAAGAGTGCAAAGGTTCTTGTTAGCTTGAAATACTAAAATATCTTCATCTTGGATATTCTGAAATTCTTCAACATTCTTAGTCTTCTACCAGCAGAAGTATTGTGTTCATTCTGCAGCATTACTTGGTCAAGAATTTCAGGGAACAACTATGAATTTTCACATTTCACATTTTTCATATGTATGACAAATATATATTTGCAGAGGGCATGAGAGATGGAAAATCATCACTGTTAAGATGTCCCTAATGTGCTCATGATCACAATACCTTGGCATGTTAATGAAATTAATTGAAGCCTAATTCAATTAATACACTTTTTCATCCTTCTAATTACAATAGCATGACTTTTATTTGTGTCTTTTGCATCTGTTTGTGTACACATAATCATTACTGTTTCTGTCAGTAATGAAGACATAATTTACAGAAATAAGCTAAGATTGACTTTTGTCCCTAGTAATGCAATTAAAGCCCAGAACTAAATAAAATAAAACATTATGTTGCATGACAGGACAGCATCTGTTTTCTCCTGTAGTTACTACTAAAATGTAAAGGGAATTTTGTGTGCTGTTTTCCCAATCTCTTAATTATCTTATGAATGCTATTCAAATGTATTTTCTTTTTTTAATCCTAAAATTTCATCTCTCCTTATCAAAAGTCTGTAAAATTAGCATTGTGGCTTACCTTTCAATACTTGGAAAATCCAGTGAAATTAATCTCTGGCTATTCGTGGGTACACATGTTGCTTTTCTCGTTGTGATTGTACTCTGAGCTGTTGAGTTGAAGGAATATTGAAATGTCAGCATGCTTCTTGCCTATAAATAAAGAACACGCATGTAGAATGAGTGGTGTCAAGAAGGGAATGACAAATCATGTCCAGATATAACCCTATATTTCTTGTGTATAGCCCCCTTACAGCTCTATCCAATATTGATATACAATTTCTGCAGTGCAATCCAAATCACATTCAAAGGATGAACAATTTTTTATTTCCATTCATCTTTGTCAGGATCACTTGAACAGCACATGTAACTGAACTCTGCAAAAGGCAATCTTTTTCTGTGCAAAGTAATATCAGAATACAAACAGTGAGCCAAGAAGAAATAGGAAAAACAAAAGTTCACAGCACTCCTAAGAAAGAAAACCAAATAGATTCTATTGAACTAAGTTAAAACTGTTAAAAATTATGTCTATAGGATTTAATTTTTGATTTGCTAATGTCTTGATTTCAGAGTCCTGTAAAATGAATCCTTTTATATTGAAAATATTCATTAAAAGGCCTCCCAGTCCTCTGTCTTCACTCAGCCTGGCTAATACACACATGCTACTTGAGAATTTATTTCAAGCAGGAAATCCTGAGGTTAGCAGAAATATTAGTTTCATTAAAGGCTAGTGAGAAATCAGGAGAAATTGTAGAATCAGAAATGAGGATTCAGGAAAAATGATAGAATCAGAAACCATATAGAGGAACTGTCTTGTATAATCAGTGAAGGACTGTGACATGATACAATGAGGAAAAGCAGTTTTAAGGATCAATGAGTTGGAAGTGAGAGAGACAGAAAGCAACGGGTGGCAGTAGGAAAGTGATAATCAGAACAAACTGCTATACATTTTAGTTTATTTCTGGCTTCTAAATGCCTCAAGCATCTTCTGATTATTCATGTGTTAATCCAGGAAATTAAAATAATGAAAAGATACACTGAGATGTTACTTCACACTTCTGGCCTTTCATTTGATATCATAGTCCTCTGTTTCTGCCATCAACTATATATTTGAATAATTTCTTACTTTTCTCCTGATTACTTTTTTTGTTGGCTACAATAAAAAGCTGTGTTTGGGTATTTGCTCTTTGTGTAATAAATATTATTGCACATTTATGATAAACCCACACGGTCCACAAAAACTCAGACCCTGATCACAAGAAACTCTGTGCAGGTTTCACCACAGCCTCTGGTGTCATGTTTTCTCCATTTCTCATATTACTCTTGGGAGCAAGTTCAGTGATGAACAGGCACAGTGACAACAGAGATGTATCAGCACAGTGCTTCCAGGTGAGTGAGCCTCACTGAAATACCTTAGGGCATTGCAATAGTATTGAATTAGTTCTTCTGCACTTTAAATGTCTTCAAGAGTGCTCTACTAACTTTTTGCTCATGAAGATAGCTGGAGTGTTCTGCAATGGTAGAAGTCCTTTTTGGTGTTGTATAAGGAATATAAAGGCTGTTTGTCCAAAGGTCTCTTGCAGAACATGGCAAACAAGTGCTGTTAGAGCCAGAATCTCAGCACCAGTCGAAGTCAGTTCAGACTGCTGTGCAACCCAGAATCTGTGGAGCTCAAAGATGGTTTAAAGGCAGTCTTGCTTATCCTTCCCTAAGGCTGTGAATTCAGTTCTCCTTCTTCTACATATGCAGTGTAAAATTTCTCCTGTAGCCCTGCTGCATTGTTTACTTAATTTGTCAGCTCCTTTCTACATCAGAATTGGGTTTCCTCTCTTAAAAAAAGAGTACAAATAGGAATGCTTTTCCTGTATTGTAAACAGGCACAGAAGCCTGGCACAGGTATTTCTTTACATCTATTTTAATCTCTGTCAGCAGAAGAGGACACATATTCCAAAGAGTTACAATAAGTCTTTCTACAAACTTCAGCTGGTTTTGGGTCAGGCATGTAAATCCTCACATTATCCACAGAACACATAAAATGTTAAAGTAACTCAGTGGAAAACTACATATTTTCCAAACCTGCAGATTGATTTGATGTGATCACAGTTGTGGGGAAATGGGGCCATCCCATTTGAGTCCTTTGCCTCTCTTCTAGCAAACAACAGGGCTGCCAATTTCTGCCAGCTGTGGGAAATTCTGAGATATGAATATTTATTCACTGGGATAGGAAATGAGAATAATAAAGGATGATGTTTCAAAAAGCTGTATTTTGAAGGGAAAGAAAAGAACACCCGCATAATTTTGTGGCAATTTGTTAAATATAAGACTGAAGAAAACTCAAGCCAGCTTCTTGAAGCTGGCACTGTGAAAGTGGCTAGCTTTTTGAGCCTTATATTTAATATACTGCTCACAGAATTTATCACATCCAATTCTTTTATGACAGTCAGTATAACTTCATGTTTGTGTGTGATTGAGAGCTATATCAAAATGTGTTCCTGAAGTGTTGCATTGTACTGAGCCATTTTTCTCTTTACACTTCAATAAATTTACTACTGTGTGTACAGTGTCCCCAAAATATCTTTTATAAGTAACAGTACTGGAGATTCACCACTGCCTGAAGGTTGTGCTAGATTCCATGCATATTCAGGATAAGATTTTTGCAGTGAAGCCAACAGGAAAAGAAATGGTTGCCTTATAGACAGAACATGAAAAGAAATAGTATAAACAGTACACATAATTAAACAAAGCAGGAGAATCAGGACAGAAGATTATTTCAATGAAAAACTTGATCTGAGGTGAGAGAGAGCAGAGCACTGGGCAGCTCAAGGGGATAGTACCTTCAGTATCTCTTAGGGTTGTGCTCTTGATTGGATTGGACCATGACTTCCACTGTTTTACAAGGGTGGCAGCAGGTGTCCAGCACACTCATTTTAATCTGCTCATTCCCACAAAAACAGAGTATTAGTGAGGAGGAAGTGCTGTGAGGAGCTATGTCTAGTGAAATAAAGTGAGCTAGAGTAGCTGAGCTGAAGAATTTATTAGTGTGATTATACTGACACAAAGAGCTTCCAGTTCATATTGGACAGTTTAGATGCCCTGTTCCTACACTGAATAGCTTATTAGCCAAACAAATAAGTAAAAAAGACCAACAAAAACCTAAGCAACAGCACCAAAAAGGAAACAAGTGACAAAAAAGACAAGAGGAAGGAAATATAATAGATGAGGAAACTGAAATACAGAAAAGTGAAACAGCATTTCAGGAGGAATGGGAGAAGCAGGTAATTAACTCAGCCTCCCTACCCCTTGCTAGTTCAAAGATGCTACCCATCATCTTTACTGGCAAAAGTCAGGAAGACTGGGAAATGTACTTTTGGGTCCTCTAGGCACTTTCTGTGTTGCCACAACAGGATTCTGGATATAACTAAATCACCTGGACACTATGATAAGATAAATACACTGAATGTGTTTAACTGGCTAATTTCTAGCAAACAGAACAAGAGAAAATAAATGTAAGATAAAAGCTGTTATTTATATTTTCATGTCTTGACAATAACATTAATTAGATTATATAGGCCTTTTCTCCTTTTGATTAATTTAGATGCACAGGGAAGAAAAGGTCTGTTTCTAAGACATTTTTACATTTCCAAAATATTGAGGGCATATTATTTTGTTTTAAAAAAACATATCAGTTTGGGTCACCTATGGTCTCAGAAGCAGAGCCAAACCAGACAGGTGAAAAATATGCAATTAAATACAAGCTTGTTATGTGATGCCATTGTAAAACCAAAGAAACAGTGGCATTCTGAGAACAGCCATGGCTCATATTTGGAATTCAGCAGAATAAATAATCTCCTGTAGAGTCCTGTTGCAGCCCCATTGCAGCCATATCTGGAATATGGTGCACTGGCATTTCCAACCATTTAGGAATAATGCTGGAGAAAAATTATGGTAGGTGGTGACAAAGTTTTCCAAAAGTTTCAGGGGAAAAAAATACAACATTTTGTACAAAATGGACATTTTAGGAGCTCCATATGCAGGAAATAGTTCAGTTTATTACAGCAGCTCAAAACCAGTGTTAACTGTTACCGTACCAGGTTTGGTTTGCAGTTCAATTCACCTTCATGAACCAACAGTTAAATTAATTATTGCAAATGAAAACTAACCTGGCTTTTGCTAGCTCTGTATCTCTGCATATGTATTTTAATGTGCATCTGCCTGACACAGTGTCACCCGACAGAGAATGTGTTGATATTTTTTCATTGTCTACCACTCTAATTCTCACTCTTTAGCCTGGCTGGTAGATTTGAGCATTTCAGCTGCATGTGTTAGGTGTCAAAGACTGCAGCACTGCAGCACTTTGCAGATTTTTACGTGGCACCGATGGTAGCTGGGGACCTTGGTGCTTCTGCTGCAACAAATAAAATACAGAGAGAGATCTTGCGCTGCCTGCATCGTGCTTCAGGCAAACTCAGTCTCTTCTGCGTTCCAGCCTCTGGCTATTTGGTCAGCATCTCTGTTCTTTGAAAATGCTTTAATCATCTTTCAATATTGCCACTTGGAACTTCAGTATGGTTTTAAGTCACACCACTTATGTTGCTCTTGCGTGCACTGACTGCTGTAGAAATACTTTAGAAAATGAGGTAATCTTATATCTCCTTTTATACTGGTTTATTTCCTATGCCCAAGATGTTTCTTGTCCAGCTTCTTCCTAAGAACCTAATTTATATTTTTTTATGATCTCCCCTTCTTTCTTAACCTCCTGTTCACAGTAAAATTTTCTTGTAATATTCCTAAATGGGGGGATATAACTGTAGCATTGAGAACCTCTTAATATATATATAACAGTTTGGATTAGTAGGACATAGGCACTATTACCTTCTTGGCAGAACTAATTAGCACTTTTAACAGCTGGCTCTGTTTAGAAACCAAAGTTGCATTATGGCTGAAGATCCTGGAAAATACCATTCTAAGAAGATTTGTCCCTTCTTATAATATTAACCTACATTAACAAAATATATTAAAATGCTGAAGAGATTGTCTGGAACAATGTTACTAACACAGCCAAAGGTCAGCACCTGTTTCAGTTTAATGAAACTGAATCAATGAAAACTGTACAATGGATTTTTATTTTACTAAGAGCAAGCTGTTTAATTTTTAATAATCCTTCTTTCTCTCTGCCCTCCAGCAAATCCAGGAGTGCATTCAGGAGAATATTCAAAGCAAAACACCTATTAAAACTTCTGAGCTGCTTTTCCATCTACTGGGCTTCTCTGGCCAATAAGACCTCTTTTATTCACTCGAATGAATTTACTTTGGACTCAGGTTTTCAGATCACTTTCAAATGGTAGACATTATTTATACAGAAAATAGTATAATTTTGTAGCCCTTACAATATTTTAGGTAGTAACTGATGGTCACTGACAAGTCATAACCAGAGACTGTGTTCTTTAGAAGTTAACATCTCCAAGGTTGATCTCCATCAACCTTGGAGTTTTCCTCTTAACTTGGGTGTGCTAAAAATGAAGGCAGGAACACATCTCAAGTTTGCTTTTGTTCCACTTTCTGAATGGAAGCACGCAAAATTGTCCAAGGGTGAGGAATACACACATATGGAGTGCCACTCCCACACCTTTGAACATGACTTTTGGCTCTGAAAGGTTTTGACACTGGTAGAACTCAAGTAAAAGTGCTTACAGGCAGACAAATCTACAACTTCCTCACATACTCTACTCACAGGCAGATCTGCTAAATTGCAATCCTCTCCATTTTCAGATGCAGCTATGAAAACAATGACTTATATAATAACTTATTAGGCAGCATATTCTAACCTTGTGTAAGTGAAACCATTGTTAAGAAAAGTTGAATACCCCTTTAACCCATTTATAAGCCACTGTTTTTGGCTACATATAAACATCTACTCTTAAAACACTTGATTTACTTCTATGAATTCTTCTTATTACACAGATTCAAAATCATCAAAACTTCATACTTAGGGAGGGTACCAGGCATGGGTCAGTCTAAGTGTTTAGTTGTTTTCCTGGCCAGAGTATTTTGAAAAGCATTATCCTTTTGCTTTCCTTTGAAAATCTAACACAAATTAGCATTATTTTAAACTGCCAGGACAAGCAGGGTCTATATTAGGGCATGACAGGATGCACATTATTAATGATCAAAAAAATATCTGTAACGTATTTAAGATATCACTCTGGTAGATGCCTACACACAATATGGTAGATTTTTCCTTTGTCGTCTTCTAAAGTATTCATACTCGCGTTGTAGGACAATGAAGCCCAGATGTTCTCTCACTCATTCCCAGAAACTCCTCCAGTACAACTTATTGCAGTGGAACTAAGGCTGTAGTTTATGTGCACGGCCATAGAGTGGCAGCCTAGTAACAAAAGAAAAAAAAAAAGCACTTGCTGTTAGAAGCAGTGGGTGTTTCCTAAGGGTTTAACATTTCAGAGGGGTTTCTAAACACTAGAGAGAAAAGTGCAGGAGGCATGACTATTCCCTGGAGGGGGGAGTAATGGGGAAGGGGAGGAGGAAATCTGGCCTTGGTAAAAGCTCAATACTAAGGGGAGGGAGGGGAAAGAGATTGAAAATTGGATGGCAAAGGGGTCAGATTATATGCCCACATAAGCAAAGCTGATCAAAGAGTAAGAAACTAAGTATTCGATTTACGTCTTCAAAATCAAATGCTTTTTCTTCCCTTTGATACAGGCAGTTAAGCACTTCCATCATCTGTGGAAACTAGTGGACAAGCTAACATTAAAGCAAGCTAATTTTTAGTTAAGCAGTTTCACAGACTTTTCATTGATAAAAATACAGCTCAAAAAGCCTCTGAATGTTCACTGAGCATTGCAAATCTAAAATGTCAAAGAACAGAATTTCATTGTTCTGTTGTTTGCCACAGAGTTTTGTGTGTGACATAAGAACAATTAGATTTCTCTGCATTGAGCTTTATTTTTATGTGGAATTAAGTGGGTTTAGCAATTTCAAGCACCCTTGAAACATAATGTAAAAAAATCACTGAGGCTGAGCTTTCTTTGCTTTTATGTAAATGAAAATTAGGATTAACTCCATTAATGCTGGTGGAGTTTCAACAGCATGAAATTAGTGTGAGAAAAGCATTAGCCACAGCAACTTTTAAAGAAGTTAGTTCCAAGTGCTACTAAATTATACAGCTCATTATCCTTGAAACCAAAATTATTTTCTATGAACCATTTATAATTTTACTTCAAATAGCTGCAATTATCAAATTTAGTTATTACACAAATATCTTCATGCTGCAATTCTTGATATTTGTATTTGTGATGTCCATACATATTACTATTACTGGAAACCAGAAGTAATACAAAATTGAGAATAGTGGAGAGATAAATGCCAACCAATTAGTAATCAAATATTGGCTGCACTATACTTTAAAGTTAACAACTTTGACTTCAGCAAGACTGAAGATTATCTAGCAGACTGAGACAGAAATTGAAAAGTAAAGAGTACCCTCACGCAAAGCTGAGGAAGCCTTTGCTGGCAAATTCATGCTCCTTCAAATTATCTCATATCCCTTTTACCCACACACATCCATCTGACTTACTTGGCTGAACATTCAATGATTAAATTTCAGAGAACTGGTAAATACAATACTTCCCAGAACTGTAACAGTTATTTGCAATAAATTGAGTTTTTTAAAGAATTACAAAGATAGTGGGAACCTCCAACCCTCTCAATATTCTCCTGGTTATCAAAACAAAGCTAACATCTTCTTTTCTCCAACTTCTATATCACTACCTCTTAACCTGTTGATACTTTCATGTTTTTAATGTGAAAAGAGATGAAAGTCAAGTAAGCAATAATGGCTCACAAAGTGAACCCCAGATGGGTTTGTCCAGCCTGACATCCCATCTTCTGCAATTGCAAATAGTCCATACTTCCAGGAAAAGTATAAAAATAGCTTGAGTAATGTCTCTCTTCTGCAGCAAGGTATTCAGAAACTTTCTGAGCCAAGGAAGTGACAGAAGTACTTTTTTTCCATTTCAATTATACTCAGTGAGCCTTGCCCTTCATTTTATTTACTGCCCTTTCATCCTGAGACCTCCCTCCTAGGCTTCAGTTACTATCCCTCACACTACCACTATGTGCTGCTTACTCATGTGCTTTAAACCTGCAAACAGATCTCTTCATTGGCAGCACTCCAGTGCTTATGGTAATAAAGGTGCCACAGACTCTACTGACTGAAATTAAGAGAAAAAAAACCATAAAAAAGGCCTCAGGAAACTATTTAGGATCAATAGTACAAAATCCAGCTAACTGTCACTTACTAGCAGAGCCTTCAGGTAGAGTTGGATACTAGGATCAATACTGCATAACATCTTTAATAAAGACCCAGATGATGGGATGGATTGTATGTATAGCATGTTTCTAAGTGACACCAAACTGGAGGGCATGGCTAGAGAGCAGGGAGGACCTGCTCTCTAGAGGACCTCTGTGTCCTGGATGAATGGGCTGATGGTCACCTCATAAAGTTTAACTAGGGCAAATGCAAAGTCCTGTGTCAGGGATGGAATAACTTCATGCAATGGGACAGGCTAGAAGCCAGATGGGTAAAGAGCAGCTCCACATAAAAGGATTTGGAGATACTGGTGGAGTGTGTTTGAAATTGAGTTGAATGTGAGCTGGCAGCATGCCCTTATCTTTTATTGAAGGGGTAGAGCAATAGGACAAGAGGCAATGGGAGTAAGTTAGAAAACAGGAATTCCCACGAGGTATCAGAAACAACTTTGTTACTATGAGGGTAGTCCAATACTAGAAAAGTGGCCCAGAGAGCCTGTGGAATCTCCATTCTTAGAAACCTTTGAAGCATGTGAATCTGGGCTGGAAAAAGCCCTGAGCAACCAGGATTAATTGATCCTGCTCTGAGCAAGGTCTTAACCAAGGTGGCTTCCAGAGATCTCTTCCAACATGAGATTCTGTTTTCATTTCTATTTTATTATTTATTATTATCATGTATTCCTGGATACAGTTGCAAACCCAGCAAGCAACTTCAATTTGACTTTGCAGATTACAATCAAAAAGTGAAACATTCTAGTTCATTCTGCCACTTTTTTCCTACAACTGTATACAACTTTCCCATGTTAATTTCATGAAATTAGCAAGTTACACATGTCCAGCTGATGAATTTATTTTGCATAATCTTTTTGAAAATTGTACCAGAGCTTTGATTAATTTATCATGTAGGAATACCAGCATAGGAACACTTGCAGAGGGATACCTATTTTGTCTGCTCTCTCAGGTTTATTGAGATATTAATGGAGTTGGAATTCTGGGCCATTATTAGGTTGCCTTTTCTTGCTTTCTGTGCATGATAACTATCCAGTGCACTCACACACACAAAAAAAATTATGTGTATAGTCATATATATATATATATATATATATATATACACACACACACACACATTTATATTCTTCTTACACATATATGGAGTAAGGTATCCTGGATCCAATAATAATGAATGAAAAGAAAAATCTTACAGGCTTAAGTTCTCAGCTAAGCTACAGATTTTCCTGTTAATAAGATACAGACTGAGACTCTGCTAGCACTTGGAATATAATGGGATTTCTACTTGTATGAATAATGCAGAATAGATGCTAGAGGACTTCAAACTAACACTAGTTAGCGACATCATTTGGCAGGTGAGATATTTCCCACAGGTCACACAATTCTACATATTTATTCCTACTGATTTCACTAATCTCTGCTCTGGAAAGCCAAGCTCCTCTACTAGAACATCTCCTCCCATCTGATGCAGATAACTCCAGCAATAAGCCTCTAGTGACTGGAACAGATGTTTCTGTTTATTTAATTTATTTATTTTACTAATACACAGCTGTCAGGGCCAACAAATAAAAAACGTTGAATTCCATCAGGACTGCCATTTCCAGTGACTACATCTTAAAGGACAGAGTCTCTAAAACTTATTTTCTAAAAACAAGGGTGTCAAGCTTAAACTTAAATAATTATTTTGATAAAGAATCTCAAGACACTAGTATCTGGCAGCTTACATTCTAAATATGTAAGTTCTTGATTGTGCAAACTGATTTCTCAGAGACAAGTGTATATAACTCATGCTCTACATTTAGGGCACATTTCTTGAACTGTAATGGTCCAAATTCAAAATTAATAACAACTTAATATATCATCCAAATTATTTCAGATAGTAACTATGTATTGTTAGCATTTGTATTGGTAAATGACAACCATATGCAAGTTTCCCTTAATGCAAGTAAAGTACTACAGAATCTCATTTCGGGGAGAGAAATATAAGAAAAAACAGCAAAAGGAAAAAAAAAAGTCAATAGAAATACCCAAAAAGGCAGCTGAAAGACAAATTCCCTTGAATTCTGAGTATTTCTGGTTCTCTATTTTGCCTTCAGCAAGGGAGTTAATGGCCAGACTCCCACCAGCAGTGGCAGTGCCTAACTTTCAGGTGCTGGAGTGAGATTCACCCTGAGCTACGTGTCCCTCATGGAGTGTAGCCCCTACACAGGCCATCCAACAAGTGCACTGAGCAGGGAGCTGCTCTGGGCCAGCCAAAGGGCTGTGTCATGCAGAGCAGTGTAACTGCAGTTCTGTACTCTCTGGAGATTAAGGGTACAAATTAGGGCTGTAAATGAAGATTTTTTTAGAAGATTTTTTTTAGAGAGCACCCACAATCTAGAAACTGCTCTCAGAAAGAACAAAAGAGAGCTTCCTTCAGAACGCATCTGCTGAGGAGCTGCTGTTGGCTCTAGATAAAGTACATTAATAGATACTTTGCCTGCAATATAAAAGATCAGGACTTAATTTTAACTCAGCCAAAAAAATTAAAACTCACCTTCCCTTCCTTGCATCAATATTTCTTACCCATCAATTTATGCAAAGTGAGAAATTAGGGAGTCTTTTGGAGCTGGAGTACTATACTGCAAAGAGCACAATCCTGGAACAGTAAGCAAAAGAAGGATGATTGTATCAGCTGGCAGATAGGAACTAACTCTCAAAGGGTGAGAAAGAGACTTGGAACCTGGTCTTTGTATTTTATCCAATGATTTTAAAATGCAAAGGGTTATGAGTGCTTCTCACCTGCTAGATGCTTTTGAAAAATATCCCAACAGGATTTTATTTCAAATAATTTAGGCACCTACCAATGCAGATATTTGACCCCCAAATCTCCAACAGCCATTGATCTCTAATTCAGCAAATTTATAAGAATTTCAGTAAACTTCCTATTGAATACCTTTCAGAACAAGGAGGAACCTTAAAATATGGGGCTTTACATGTGTGATTTGGCTGGTAGTCATTCTGGAGGCTTTGTCTCTCTCCAGCTGTCTACTCTGAGAGTTTGAAGTGTTT